TTTGGGTATGGATGACCAGAGCAGTAGTTTGTACCCCTGATTTTCTGTTGATATTTCTGTACCCTAATTCTCTCTTTTGTACTACTCATATTGTATTATCAAATCAGAGAACCCACATATTATAGACGAAATGGGTAAATTCGTCTCCCACTGTCTGAAAAGAAGATGTCAAACCCAACAAAATACCACGTATGTTGTAGAATGTAGTATCACGTAGACTCTCATATCATTGTACCTTCTTTCACATAAATTTTGTCTGTATTTGCAATTAGCCTTCGGGCATGTATTTGCAATGAATTTTCCATATCAAATGGTGTCTACAAGCCCACACGTGCTGGGCGCGTGAAGCGCCCCACACGGAAATAAAGTCACATTCATTCACTGGCTGTAAGGCTAGACCACGGGAAGGTAAACATTATGCATTTTCTTTTCAAATGTTAAATAATAATTTCACGGCTCTCGGCGGCAAATGTGCTGATGTTGACACATTGGCGCACCAAATCTACAGTACGTTTTTGGCACACAGTTAGACAGATTAGCCTCAGAAGAGGCTCGGTGGGCGTCACTCCACCGTGCAGGTTTGCAAATGTTATACCCAATTCAGTTTACCTTCTGTTTCAGCTTGCCCTTTCGCCTTAGAACGACACCACTGCCACAGCTTGTACGCTCCAGTTCCGATAAGTATGGCCAGCCCTACGATCAGCGCCTTGACTAAGATCCTGGTTACGAAGTAGGTGCCAGGGTCTATGGATACTTGGTGCCTGTTGTTAGTAGAGGAACCACCGACGTCCATGTCGTTGTTTCCGTTCCCCTCAAAAAACATGGCAGATCTTTTTTGGCGGCTGGAAGATGGTATCAAACTGTTAAGACTGAGTGTCAAATTCTAACAGGACGTACAGTATCCAAAACACCACCGAAAACAAAGATACCGGTACAAAAAAAAAACAGAAAATCACCTTAAGAGACGTCAAAAGTAGGCGGAAATGCGAATTTCTGTTTGGAGAGTAGCTTAATTGGCTTTCGCGTCAGCAGAGGTGGTTAGACCAGTTCTAAAGGTCAGGGACCTGTGATGACCCCTGATGTCGCGGTCTTAATGTCACCCAACGAAATTCAGTCATGGCAAAAACACAAAACAAGACAATACTCACTTTCACTTGAGTTAAGTGTGGAACGTCCTTTCCCAAGGGCACAAGCGACATTCTGAGCAACACCTTGTATATTTATAGATTCAGATTTTATTGAATATCGACGGACAACGTCACATTAAGTGCATGAAATATGTCGAGTATTTACAACTTGCGCCCAGTTATTACAAATAGATAGCATAAAATCCTACATATTATAATGTTAGAGATAGGAAGACGGTGCCAGGCTCTCGTTCGTCCCTCTTATAATCACCATCAAAGAGTGGAACGAACTTGAGCCTGGTGTGGCGGAGGCGGGGTCCCTCGCCCAGTTCAAAACTGGACTGGCGAGGACCCTGCTGCATTGAGTCGCCCCTACACGTCTTGTATATATATATATATACATACATACATAAATACATACATACATACATACATACATACATACATACATACATACATACATACATATATATATATATATATATATATATATATATATATATATATATATATATATATATATATATATAT